GATGTGTAGAAATTCAACAAAAACTTACAGATAATTCACATTTTTCAACTTTGGGGAAAATTCAAATTTCCATTCTTACTCAACTATGCAGTCAATTTTATCAACTGAGCTACATTTGCTTCATGAGACCAGCTATATTTGCTTCATGTACGTCAAAGAGACCAAAGAAGGCATTTACATTACATAAAATGGTACACATACATCAAGACAATTTTTTTTCAAAAAGGCGAACACTCTCTTAGAACAAACTACAAACATTTTACGGGGGCGGTGGGGTAGCCTAGTGCTCGTCACGCCGAATATCCGGGTTCGATTCCCCACATGGGTACAATGTGTGAAGCCCATTTCTGGTGTCCCCCGCCGTGATGTTGCTGGAATGTTGCTAAAAGCGGCGTAAAACTATACACGCTCAAACTCACTCACTTACCTACTGTTTACAATGAAACCTTGTGGGTATGGGATACAAACACTTAGGGTTCCCTGTCCTTACATGCTTCGTTATTATACCTCTGAGCATACTTTAACTGCACTTTTAGCTCTTGGAATTGTAAACCCGTCAAGATCCGGGTTAGAATTGATCTTCAGTAACCCATGATCGATGGTCATGCTATTGATTACTGGATTGTCTGGTCCAGAATCGAATATTTACAGACAGCCGCCATATAGCTGGAATATTGCGGCGTAAATCTAAACTCACTTACTCACTCACTCTTGTGGTTATTGTACCACTGTTCTGCATATAGTATCTGTGCCTATACAGTATTGATGTCAGAGCCCTTCATACTGTATACTGTTTGGCCAAAAGTGCGTTTGGCTCAAAAGCGGACCGATGAATTACAATCTAACTCAAAAAATAATAAACATATAATACTCAATGAAACGCTGATCATAATCAAAATATCAGACCAACCCTGTGATTTATTTGCAGAATTTATGTCCTAAAATTATAAAAGTTGTTTAACAAACTATCATTAAAATATTGACACAGTTCACTATTTGTTACGAGGGAGGAGTGCAGAGAAAGGGACAGGCAGGTGTTAGAGAAGCACGTGCACAAACAACTTTTTATTTTAGGACATAAATTCTGCAAACACCTCTCAGAGTTGGTCAGACGTTTTCATTATGATTAGTGTTTCATTGAGTCTATATGTTTATAAATTTTCGAGTTAGATTGCAATTCATCGATACGCTTTTTGCGAAACGGACTATGATGGGGAAGTATATGGAGACACCACAGGATGGGTCTTCTGTAATATTACTCGACATAAGGGAAAGTTACAACGTTCTTCTCTCTTGTCTCGTTGGGATCTGTTGTCAGCCTGAATCCTATTACATATATCTAAATATCAAACAGATCAGTAAGCTTCATATGACTCACGCATGTCTGGTTCAGGGGGATATGTCGGTGGAAGAGGATCGGCTAATAGATGGATCAACATTCAACGGTTGTCTGGAGCACAGTTCAAAGCGACTTTTACTGATGGTCACTGACTGACACGAATATACTCCATACAGACAGTGGGGGAACCTAGTGGTTAAACGTTCGTTCACACCGACTGTTTCTTTGTTTGTTTGCTTTATAAAACAATATTCTAACTATATGGCGGCAATCTGTAAATAATCGAGTCTGGACCAGACAATCCAGTGATCAACAGCATCATCATCGATCTATACACCTGGGATACGATGACATGTGTTAACCAAGTCAGCGAGCCTCACCACTCGATCCCGTCGTTCGCGTCTTACGGCAAGCATGGGTTACTGAAGATCAATTCTATCCCGGATCTTCACGGGTGGATACAAGCACGGGTTGCTGAAGACCGATCCAAACCCGGGTCCTCACGTGTGCAAAACAAGCATGAGTTGGTGAAGACCAATCCTGATCCGGACTTTCACGTGTTTCACAAGTTCCATTCAAATCATAGCAACAAAGTGCGATGTCCGTTTCCGGTGTCAGCTAAAGGTGATTTTGCTGTGTAACTGCTAAAAATGGCAAAATATCACATTCACCATTTGTTTGGGAATATCCTCTGTGACAAATAAATGTGACGACGGCTTAAGACCCTTCTATGTGTTGGACCATCAAAGCACAAAACCGTAGTAAGGTGTGTCAAGAGATGTGACGACGGTGGAAGACCCTTCCATGTGTTGGACCATCTAAGCACACAACCGTAGTAAGGTGTGTCAAGAGATGTGACGACCATCTAAGACGACGTGTGGAAGATCTTCTACAACCGTAGTAAGGTGTGTCAAGAGATGTGACGACGGTGGAAGACCCTTGTGTTGGACCATCTAAGCACACAACCGTAGTAAGGTGTGTCAAGAGATGTGACGACGGTGGAAGATCCTTCTATGTGTTGGACCATCTAAGCACACAACCGTAGTAAGGTGTGTCAAGAGATGTGACGACGGTGGAAGATCCTTCTATGTGTTGGACCATCTAAGCACACAACCGTAGTAAGGTGTGTCAAGAGATGTGACGACGGTGGAAGATCCTTCTATGTGTTGGACCATCTAAGCACACAACCGTAGTAAGGTGTGTCAAGAGATGTGACGACGGTGGAAGATCCTTCTATGTGTTGACCATCTAAGCACAACAACCGTAACCGTAGTATGTGTTGTGACGATGGAAGATCCTTCTATGTGTTGGACCATCTAAGCACACAACCGTAGTAAGGTGTGTCAAGAGATGTGACGACGGTGGAAGATCCTTCTATGTGTTGGACCATCTAAGCACACAACCGTAGTAAACCGTAGTGTGTCAAGAGATGTGACGACGGTGGAAGACCCTTCTATGTGTTGGACCATCTAAGCACACAACCGTAGTAAGGTGTGTCAAGAGATGTGACGACGGTGGAAGATCCTTCTATGTGTTGGACCATCTAAAGCACACAACCGTAGTAAGGTGTGTCAAGAGATGTGACGACGGTGGAAGATCCTTCTATGTGTTGGACCATCTAAGCACACAACCGTAGTAAGGTGTGTCAAGAGATGTGACGACGGTGGAAGACGACGATGGAAGACCCTTCTATGTGTTGGACCATCTAAGCACACAACCGTAGTAAGGTGTGTCAAGAGATGTGACGACGATGGAAGACCCTTCTATGTGTTGGACCATCTAAGCACACAACCGTAGTAAGGTGTGTCAAGAGATGTGACGACGGTGGAAGATCCTTCTATGTGTTGGACCATCTAAGCACACAACCGTAGTAAGGTGTGTCAAGAGATGTGACGACGGTGGAAGATCCTTCTATGTGTTGGACCATCTAAGCACACAACCGTAGTAAGGTGTGTCAAGAGATGTGACGACGGTGGAAGATCCTTCTATGTGTTGGACCATCTAAGCACACAACCGTAGTAAGGTGTGTCAAGAGATGTGACGACGGTGGAAGATGGAATCTAAGCACACAACCGTAGTATCCTTCGACGGTATGTGTTGGACCATCTAAGCACACAACCGTAGTAAGGTGTGTCAAGAGATGTGACGACGATGGAAGATCCTTTCTATGTGTTGGACCATCTAAGCACACAACCGTAGTAAGGTGTGTCAAGAGATGTGACGACGGTGGAAGATCCTTCTATGTGTTGGACCATCTAAGCACACAACCGTAGTAAGGTGTGTCAAGAGATGTGACGACGATGGAAGACCCTTCTATGTGTTGGACCATCTAAGCACACAACCGTAGTAAGGTGTGTCAAGAGATGTGACGACGATGGAAGATCCTTCTATGTGTTGGACCATCTAAGCACACAACCGTAGTAAGGTGTGTCAAGAGATGTGTGTTACGACGATGGAAGACCCTTCTATGTGTTGGACCATCTAAGCACACAACCGTAGTAAGGTGTGTCAAGAGATGTGACGACGGTGGAAGATCCTTCTATGTGTTGGACCATCTAAGCACACAACCGTAGTAAGGTGTGTCAAGAGATGTGACGACGATGGAAGACCCTTCTATGTGTTGGACCATCTAAGCACACAACCGTAGTAAGGTGTGTCAAGAGATGTGACGACGGTGGAAGATCCTTCTATGTGTTGGACCATCTAAGCACACAACCGAAGCAAGGTGTGTCAAGAGATGTGACGACGGTGGAAGATCCTTCCATGTGTTGGACCATCTAAGCACACAACCGAAGTAAGTTGTGTCAAGAGATGTGACGACGGTGGAAGATCCTTCTATGTGTTGGACTATCTAAGCACACAACCGAAGCAAGGTGTGTCATGAGATGTGACTGACGGTGGAAGATCCTTCTATGTGTTGGACCATCTAAGCACACAACCGAAGCAAGGTGTGTCAAGAGATGTAACGACGGTGGAAGACCCTTCTATGTGTTTGACCATCTAAGCACACAACCGAAGTTGGGTGAGTGGGTGAGTTAGTTTAGTTTTACGCCGCACACAACAGTATTCCAGCTATATCGCGGCGGTCTGTAAATAATCTGATCTGGACCAGACAATCCAAGGGTCAACAGCATGAACATCGATCTACGCAATTGAGATACGATGACGTGTGAATCCAGTCAGCGATGTGACGACGATGGAAGATCTTTTATGTGTTGAACCATCTAAGCACACAACCGTAGTTAGGTGTGTCAGGAGATAAGAAAGAAGTAATCAAACTGGGTTAAATGTATGTGCCCTATAACAACCGCAGTCCGTCAACAACAATCCAATTTCAACGGTCTGTACCTTAAATTGAAGGCAAGGCTCCAATCTGGTCAGATAAGATTTGAAATAAACAATCTTTCTATTGGATGAATTGATTTAGAGGAAGGGTTGTCTCATTCGAGAGATAACAAGAAATATAATAGTACAAGACATTACCACTTTGAAAATAGTTCTGTGTCATTCCGACCAAATGTCCACTATCTAAAGAACGAAAAGGTCACAAGTATGACTTATTAGGGAATGTTCTCACTGTAGGTACAGATCTTAAAATTTACAGAAACCTTCTTGATACGGTCCCTGGTATCTTATCGCACCTGACTGGGTTGCTACAGAAGGGGTTTTAAGGTGAAGGCATGACGTGGCGAGAGGTAAAGACTAGCAGAATTTCCCCTGATATGTGAGGGTAGATACTACACGGTTTTGGTCGACGGTGGAAAGGTACGTTGATCTTTTTCTGTTTGTATTTTGGCACAGTAGCAAGGAGGTGTTCGCTCGTCACGCCGACATACCGGGTTCTATTCTAGCGGATGGGTATACTTTGAGAAGCTTTTGTTGATGCGTGGTATTACTGGGATGTTGCACAAATCTGTGTTTGTTTACTCTAACAATTCTCATAAAACATAAAATAAGAAGTTATTGGTTTGCTGGAACTATACCCGCACTCTTTGGAAATACCAAAGTGAAATACTCTTCAAAGAGTCCCAAAAGACTTCACTCAGGCAAGCGTACAGTCGAAACCGCGAGATTTGTAGCTGAGATGCACCAGCCCAACCTTCCCTTGGACCAATGCTGGGCGATTCTGGATCAGACCGGACCTACAAGGAGCCGACTGAAAACAGACCGGGTGGATAGGTATACAACATCCCCAGCTCATGACCAGTACATCTGGACATTCCAAACCGGGTACTCCAACGGGTGTTACATCAACCTGTTACAGAAACAGAAACAGCCGCCATTGTGCCTGGTGTACGTTTGTTATTGTTTAACGCCGTACTCAGCACTTTTCCAGAGCATCGACTACGCAAAATTGGAATACGATGACACGGGTCAACCAAGTTAGCGAGCCTCATCACCCAATCCTGTTAGTCGCCTCTTACAAGTATGGCCGGTGAATACCAGTTCTAACCCGGATGTGCACTGATCTTGTACTGAACTGAACCTTTGTCAATATTTACGCTGCTATCAGTAGAATGGGAGGAGGTAGAAACTGATTTCATATACAGTGACACCTGTCTAATATCGTTGTATGCCGGTTTTGACAGGGTGCCGGTGTTGGCAGGTTCCACTGTACATAACACAAATTTAAAATAGATGCAAAATATTGGGATACGATGACATGTGTCAACCATGTCAGCGTGCCTGACCACCCAATCCTGTTAGTCGCCTCTTACGACAAGCATGGGTTCCTGAAGACCATTTCTAACCTGGATACATAGGACGCCCCAATCGACTGTGTGTGTACCGTCCTCCGTCATGGAAGACTCATTTCCTTGGCCATCACGACATCGTCGACGTTTACATTTAAGTCTGGATTTTGACACTGTTGCGACGTGACGAGTATCATTCTTTGTTTATTTGCTTATATCTTCACCAAACGAAGGAAGGATTTTAAAGATCACATATACTCTTAGAGGGGAGGGGGGCTACTTACTAATACCTAAATCTCTGGTTGGCATCATTATAAATGAAACCCCGTCATTTCGATCTTTAATTAACTTAAATCGACCTTTTTGAAAATAGTGCACAATTCTCACCCGCGAACTGAGGGGCGCGTATCTGAGACGTAATGTGTGGAAAACATATGTGGGCCGAAGTAGAATTCATGTACATTTCAGGGGGCATATTATCTTGTTTACAGGTTTGTATAAATCTGATATTGTGACAAGTGTTGTGAGAAATGAAAGCTATATGTTCTCATAATCTACGGTCATTTAATTTTGTCACCTGCTTTGCCTAGATTCCGAGTTACAACTTGTTTCCATAGACGATTCTGTCAATATCGCTTGGTGTCGCTAAGCCTTATTTGTTTGAGTGAGTGAGTGAGTGAGTGAGTGAGTTTGGCTTTAAGCCGCTTTTAGCAATATTCCAGCAATATCACGGCGGGGGACACTAGAAATGGGCTTCACACATTGTACCCATGTGGGGAATCGAACGGAGGTCTTCGGCGTGACGAGTGAACGCTTTAACCACTAGGCTACCCCACCGACCCTCAGTCACAAAGACTGAGTAAGTGGGTTGAGTTTTACGCTGCTTTTAGGAATAGTCCAGCAATATGACGGCGGGGGACACCAGAAATGGGCTTCATAACACGAAGAGGAAAGGTGCACGTGTGCCTTGGTTAATGGTCGCATCACGGATTTGAAAATGTCCTTGCAAATTGTGATGGTGATACTGTCCTATTAAATTTGTTTTTAATAAGCTTAGAAGTTCAAGGGGCGGTTGGATAGCCTATTTAAAGCGTTTGTTTCTATTTTATACATATTTATTATTTATATTTTGGTGTTTGGGGGTTTTATTGTATGGTGTCTGGGTTTTCTGTGGGTTTGCAGATGGATATAATCTATTGCCATCATTTAGTGAGTGAGTGAGTTTAGTTTTACTCAAGCAATATTACGGCGGAGGACGCATTGTACCCTTGTGGGGAATCGAACCCGGGTCTTCGGCGTGACGACCGAATGCTTTATCCATTAGGGTACCGCCCTTATAGTCAAAATAAAGTCAAAACTTTATCTCAGTTTTTTTTTATTGTATGTTTGATTTTCTGCTGAAACATCTTCTACTACCAACAAATATGTCAGCAAAGGACTGTAAAACAACAAGATTATCACAGGTAACCGCCATATAGCTGGAATATTGCTGAGTGTGGCGTAAAACTAATCCCACTCACTGAAACTCACAGGTAAAAAACTTAAATTAGCATGTAACTTTAAAATTATACCGCTGCCCCAAGTCGTGATGCTTTTGGAATTTGAACCCGAGAGCATAAAGTCCTTTTGTGCACAAAGTACGTATTCCGATAAGTCGCCACGGCGTGTGTAGTTAGAGCAGTAAAGTGGCAGGTGGTAATGAATGCTGTCACATTCCTGATAACTCAAAGAATGCCAGTCCTTTATCACCGAGGTCAGACACTATCATTAAGGTCAGACTTAGGTTGCGGGTGTATGTATTGCAAGTTGCATGGATACACATATACTTGTCGGTTCCTTGTGTCAACTCGTGGCACAGGCTGCTTGAGATCAGGTATCTCAGTCCTAAAGGTTGGTATCTCAAGTTAATCTTCTTAGGTGCCGCAAGTGACTTTGACGAGATGCACACTTTGGGAAACTTAGAGTAGTGCAGATTTGTAAATTGTTCTCTTGACAGTGACACACGAGTACATTATGATACGGCACGACGTGATATTACTGGAATGGTGCTGGACATTGCTATAAACCAACTCACTCACTCGCTCGCTCGTGAGTAATTGTTGTTCAACAATCCATGCTTGTCGTAAGAGGCGACTAACGGGATCGGTTGGTCAGACTCGCTGACTTGGTTGACACATGTCATCGGTTCCCAGCTTCATGGATCGATGCTCACGATGTTGATCACTGGATTGTTTGGTCCAGACTCGATTATTTACAGACAGGACCATATCCCTAGAATATTGCCCCGTCCGGCGTATAACAACCAACAAACCAAACCTACTCACCAACTCACTAATGCGCTCGCCACATCACTAACTCAGTCATCTATTCATCAACTCACTCACCCATCCACCCCCACACACACACTCACTCACTCCCTTACTCGCCCATTCAACCACTCGGCCACTCACTCGCTCATCCGCTCATTAACCTTATCATTCACTCATCAAATCACTCACTCACCCAGTCGTCCACTTACTCACCTTCTCACTCCCTTACTCACCCAGTCATCCGCTCACCCCCCTCACTCACCCCTCACTCACTCACTTACCCAGTCATCCGCTCATCCCTCACTCACTCACTCACTCCCTTACTCGCCCATTCAACCACTCGACCACTCAAATCGCTCACCCACTCACTCACCTTATCATTCACTCAACAAATCACTCACTCACCCACTCGCCCAGTCGTCCACTCACTTACTCACTCACCCTCTCACTCGCTCACTCACCCAGTCATCCGCTCACCCTCTCACTCACCCACTCACTCACTCCCTTACCCAGTCATCCGCTCATCCCCTTACTCACCCAATCACTCCCTTTACTCACCCAGTCATCCGCTCACCAACTCACTCACCCATTCATCCACCATTCACGCCCTTACTCACCCACTCATCGACTCACTCACTCACCAACTCACTCACTTACTCACCCAGACAAGCACCCATCGACGTACTCCAACTCACTCGCTTACTCACCCAGACAAGCACCCATCGACGTACCCCAATTCACTCACTTACTCACCCAGACAAGCACTCATCGACTCACTTACACACATTTCCTCAGTTTAATGTTGTCAGATGCGTTAAATGTATGTCGTCTGTCTTCCACATATTTATAAGTCAACCCTCTACATTTCAGACTACAGGACAGTGAGCACCTCAACAATGGCCTCCAGAGGTGTAATACTCGTATACACCGGCGCTGGAATTCTTTGTTTGGGGTTGATCAGCAGTACATACTTCTACCGTGACCTCGTCTGGGACAAACGCAGTGTTGACCTCACGCGCCCACGATATTTTATTCCTAAGTACATTAGCATCACAAACACGTCAGTAAATCTACAAGGAGTGTTATTTAAATATTTAACAGATATGGACCGTGATGTCACCGTACAGATTAAGGACCAGTTGTTCAAGAACGTGATCCGGCCTTCAATAGCAACAAAAGCACACTTCCGTTATGTACCCAGGAGGGTTGGCACCGCTAACTGTAAATTACTTATAGACGGGGATCAAAAGACAATATCCAAAGCCAAGATCAGCCACGTTAGGCCTCCCCTTAATATCAGCGTTGCCACTGAAAAATGTGACGCTTTTAAAATAGAGAAAGGTTATATAACAGACTCTTTAAGTAAAGAGGAGAAGGAATTTCCTATTGCTTTCAGTATAGTAATGTTCAAGGATGCCAATCAGGTTGAACGTCTTCTCCGGCAATCTACAGACCACAAAACTTTTACTGCATCCACGTAGACACGAAAGCGCAACCGGATGTCAGAAGGGCGATGACGTCATTGGGCAAGTGCTTTGACAATGTGTTTCTATCCTCACGTTCTGTGAGCGTCCAGTGGGGAAAATTCACAGTTCTGGAACCTGAACTTATTTGCATGAAAGATTTGTGGCATCACAAGTGGAAATATTTCATTAATCTCACTGGACAGGAATTCCCCTTAAAAACAAATGCCCAGTTGGTGAAGATTCTGAAAGCCTACAATGGAGCCAATGATCTGGAAGGTACGATAAAAAGGTAATAATTTCACAAATATGGTGACCCGGGGAATCGTTAGTAATTCAGCAGTAAGATATATGTCACACATGGAAGTCATTTTTGACTACTAGTTTTGTGTGTTGTGGTGGCAGTGGTTCGGTACTGAGACATAATGCTAGGGTAAAAGAAGGGTGTTTTACAGAAGCTGCCTTGTAGAATGGAAAACCTCCCACAGGTCAGACTGCAAACATGGTTGAAAAACATGTTGACAGCCAGATTCCTGAACCGTACAAACATCCTTCAGTAAACTTACTGATCGTCAACCACATTCCTGAACTTTACAAATATCCTTCAGTAAACTTACTGATCGTCAACCACATTCCTGAACTTTACAAATATCCTTCAGTAAACTTACTGATCGTCAACCACATTCCTGAACCATACAAATATCCTTCAGTAAACCTTACTGATCGCCAACCACATTCCTGAACTTTACAAATATCCAGATCTTTCAACCTAACAAATATCCCTCAGTAGTCTTTACTCGTCGTTCATGGCACCTGCACTTGTTGACAACCAGATCTTTCAACCTAACAAATATCCCTCAGTAGTCCTTACTCGTCGTTCATGGCACCTGCACTTGTTGACAACCAGATCTTTCAACCTAACAAATATCCCTCAGTAGTCTTTACTCGTCGTTCATGGCACCTGCACTTGTTGACAACCAGATCTTTCAACCTAACAAATATCCCTCAGTACTCTTCATACTCGTCGTTTTCAACCTGGCACCTGCACTTTGTTGACAACCAGATCTTTCAACCTAACAAATATCCCTCAGTACTCTTTACTCGTCGTTCATGGCACCTGCACTTGTTGACAACCAGATCTTTCAACCTAACAAATATCCCTCAGTACTCTTTACTCGTCGTTCATGGCACCTGCACTTGTTGACAACCAGATCTTTCAACCTAACAAATATCCCTCAGTAGTCTTTACTCGTCGTCTCATGGCACCTGCATGGCTTTGTTGACAACCAGATCTTTCAACCTAACAAATATCCCTCAGTAGTCTTTACTCGTCGTTCATGGCACCTGCACTTGTTGACAACCAGATCTTTCAACCTAACAAATATCCCTCAGTAGTCTTTACTCGTCGTTCATGGCACCTGCACTTGTTGACAACCAGATCTTTCAACCTAACAAATATCCCTCAGTAGTCTTTACTCGTCGTTCATGGCACCTGCACTTGTTGACAACCAGATCTTTCAACCTAACAAATATCCTTCAGTAGTCTTTACTCATCGTTCATGGCACCTGCACTTGTTGACAACCAGATCTTTCAACCTAACAAATATCCTTCAGTAGTCTTTAACTCGTCGTTCATGGCACCTGCACTTGTTGACAACCAGATTCTTCAACCTAACAAATATCCTTCAGTAGTCTTTACTCATCGTTCATGGCACCTGCACTTGTTGACAACCAGATTCTTCAACCTAACAAATATCCTTCAGTAGTCTTTACTCATCGTTCATGGCACCTGCACTTGTTGACAACCAGATTCTTCAACCTAACAAATATCCTTCAGTAGTCTTTACTCATCGTTCATGGCACCTGCACTTGTTGACAACCAGATTGACAACCAATATTCTTCAACCTAACAAATATCCCTGCAGTAGTCTTTACTCATCGTTCATGGCACCTGCACTTGTTGACAACCAGATTCTTCAACCTAACAAATATCCTTCAGTAGTCTTTACTCATCGTTCATGGCACCTGCACTTGTTGACAACCAGATTCTTCAACCTAACAAATATCCTTCAGTAGTCTTTACTCATCGTTCATGGCACCTGCACTTGTTGACAACCAGATTCTTCAACCTAACAAATATCCTTCAGTAGTCTTTACTCATCGTTCATTGGCACCTGCACCTGCACTTGTTGACAACCAGATTCTTCAACCTAACAAATATCCCTCAGTAGTCTTTACTCATCGTTCATGGCACCTGCACTTGTTGACAACCAGATTCTTCAACCTAACAAATATCCCTCAGTAGTCTCTACTCATCGTTCATGGCACCTGCACTTGTTGACAACCAGATTCTTCAACCTAACAAATATCCTTCAGTAGTCTTTACTCATCGTTCATGGCACCTGCACTTGTTGACAACCAGATTCTTCAACCTAACAAATATCCTTCAGTAGTCTTTACTCATCGTTCATGGCACCTGCACTTGTTGACAACCAGATTCTTCAACCTAACAAATATCCTTCAGTAGTCTTTACTCGTCGTTCATGGCACCTGCACTTGTTGACAACCAGATTCTTCAACCTAACAAATATCCTTCAGTAGTCTTTACTCGTTCATGGCACCTGCACTTGTTGACAACCAGATTCTTCAACCTAACAAATATCCTTCAGATTTTACTCCGTTCAACACCTGCACTTGTTGACAACCAATTCTCCAACCTAACAAATATCCCTCAGTAGTCTTTACTCATCGTTCATGGCACCTGCACTTGTTGACAACCTGATTCTTCAACCTAACAAATATCCTTCAGTAGTCTTTACTCGTCGTTCATGGCACCTGCACTTGTTGACAACCAGATTCTTCAACCTAACAAATATCCTTCAGCAAACCTTACTGATCGTCGAAGGTAGGTGCCCTTGTTGACAACCAGATTCCTGAACATTACCAATATCCTTCAATGATCACGAACTCCGGTTATAGCGAACTAAACTTTTTGGTCACTTTGAGTTCGTTATAATCGTAGCTGACTGTGTTTCTTTCAGAGCTAATAAACACAGATGGCGCCATGCGGGACCGCCTCCTCACAAAATCACCGCTGTGAAGGGAGCTGTCCACATCGTCGCCAGTCGGGGGTTTGTAGACTACGTCTTGCACAACTCCACCGCTCAAGATCTGTTGGAGTGGGTGAAGAAAACCGACGTTCCAGATGAGACGTTTTTCTCCACTCTCAACCATAATCCACAACTAGGTGTACCTGGAGCTTATAAGGGTAAGACATTCTTCCCCTTATCATAATCCACAGCTAGGGGTAGTAGGAGCTTACAAGGATAGGACATTCTTCCCCTTATCATAATCAACAGCTAGGGGTACCTGGAGCTTACAAGGGTAAAACATTCTTCCCCTTATCATAATCCACAGCTAGGGGTACCAGGAGCTTATAAGGGTAAGACATTCTTCCCCTTATCATAATCAACAGCTAGGGGTACCAGGAGCTTACAAGGGTAAGACATTCTTCCCCTTATCATAATCCACAGATAGAGGTACCAGGAGCTTATAACGGTAAGACATTCTTCCCCTTATCATAATCAACAGCTAGGGGTACCAGGAGCTTACAAGGGTAAAACATTCTTCCCCTTATCATAATCCACAGATAGAGGTACCAGGAGCTTATAAGGGTAAGACATTCTTCCCCTTATCATAATCCACAGATAGAGGTACCAGGAGTTTACAAGGGTAGGACATTCTTCCCCTTATCATAATGCACAAATAGAGGTACCAGGAGTTTATAATGGTAGGACATTCTTCTCCTTATCATAATCCACAGATAGAGGTACCAGGAGCTTATAAGGGTAAAACATTCTTCCCCTTATCATAATCCACAGATAGAGGTACCAGGAGCTTATAAGGGTAGGACATTCTTCCCCTTATCATAATCCACAGCTAGAGGTAGCAGGAGCTTATAAGGGTAGGACATTCTTCCCCTCATCATAATCCACAGCTAGGGTGCCACAGGCACGCACGCACGCACACACACGCACGCACACACTCACACCCAGCTAACGGGTGCCACCTCTAAACTCGTAACTCTGCCAAGAGCTTATAACTGTACAGCTTATCATATAAATAAAACCAACTAGCCAGACCGGGGGCTTTTAACAGTACATTTACAAAACAATCTAGAGATCCAACTACACCTCTGTAGAAACCTACGTGAAAAGTTTCCCTAAAATAACAATAGTGCTCGACACACGAGACATTTGCCAACACAGAGTTTATATAAACCATTCATATATTTCCAGGCTTGCTGGACAAACCAAACAAGCCATTCCTTGCCAGGTTTAAGAGTTGGTATGGAAGCAAAATCGGCAACTGGTCTTGTACAGGCAAGCTTGTTCGCTCAGTGTGTGTGTTTGGCGTTGGGGATCTATCCGTACTGACCACCAGGCCAAACCTGTTTGCTAACAAGTTCTACTGGGACTTCCAGCCTCTTGCCCTGGACTGCCTCGAGGAGTGGAATTACAACCGGACCAGGGACGAATTCCCTCGGAGAGTACGCCTTTAACGCGTCCTATTACAAAACACTGGATTTTGTTAAGAATAAAATTGAATGAAATCTTTTGATATAAGGTGGTTTTATGTGAGCATGATGTTTTATTTTGCATATGCTGCCATAATTATAGCTGGAATATTGCTGAGTGCGGGGTAAAACTAAAGTCACTCACTCACAGATAACATGCTCATGACACGAATGTATACGATATATACACAAGGGACAAAGTATTGCTACACCCCATATTTTAGTGGCATCAACTGACTGACTGACTGACTGAGTTTGGTTTTACGCCGCTTTTAGCAATATTCCAGCAACATCACGGCGGGGGACACCAGATATGGGCTTCACACATTGTACCCATGTGGGGATTCGAACCCGGGGTCTTCGGCGTGTTAGTGGCATCGATATCATGTTACCATTAACCATAGCAAAGGAATTTATCCAAACCTCACTTTAGCTCATTATATAGATAGATTGATAAGTAGTAATTTATTGGCAAATTTATGCTAAAAAGAACGAAAATCTGTAGTTTGTTCAGAGAAACAAAGCTGGCAAATAATTGGTTCATTTTTAGTCCTGATAACTATGGTCGTATGGCAACAAGGGCAGTCATTTTCAAAATTCGGGCGTGCAATCCTCAAGAAAATTTACTCTCATACGTTTATTTTATTCTTGAGGCGATAGCATGAGATGTAACTTGTCTATATATGAGTAAGTGTGAGTTTAGGTTTTACGTCGCTTTTAGCAATATTCCAGCAATATCACGTCAGGAGACCAGAAATGGGCTTCACACGTTGTACTCATGTGGGGAATCGAACCCGGGTCTTCGGCGTGACGTGCGAACGCTTTAACCACTAGGCTACCCAATCGCCCTCCAACATAGGAGCTGGTCACTGGATTGTCTAGTTCAGACTCGATTATTTACAGACCGCCGCCATATTGCTGGAATATTGCTGAGAGGGGCCGTTAAGCAACAAACCAAGCAATCAAATCCAACATTGAACCAGTTTCATTTCTCACCGAGTCTTTAGTTCACTACAGTCCGTTTGAGTCAGAAACGGACCGATGAATTGCAAATTTTATCATTGTACAAAATTGCCACATAAATATAAATAGTACACATGTTTATCGTTTACTAATACCCAACAGCTTTCTTATATTTGAAAATTTTCCGGACTCCACCCAAAAAAGTTCTTTAAGAAACTATCATTAAAATTTTGGCACAGTTCACTATTTGTTACGAGGGAGGAGTGCAGAGAAAGGTACAGCCAGGTGTGCGAGAAAGGATGGAGACGACACAGCACAGGCTAATGAATCAATAACTTGGTGGGCACTTGTGCACGTGCTTCTCTAACACCTGGCTGTCCCTTCCTCTGCACTCCTCCCTCGTCCACATAGGTACAATGTGTCAAGCCCCCTTCTGGTGTCCCCGCCACGATATTGCTGGAATATTGCTAAAAGCGGCGTAAAACCATACTCACTCACTCTTTTTTGTCACTGGGCTGTTTTTTCTGTGAACTGAAAACCTGTTTCATTTAAAATTTCGAATTAATTCTATGAACAAAAAAATACCTTTTTGTCAGCTTGTTTCTATCGCTGAAATGAAAACGTAGTTGTTTTACTTCTAAATTTCACTTTAAATTCAAATTTAAATTTTTGGGCGAACTGACATCATAGGTGTCTTTACAAGAAATTAACTGACCACTGTCCGATAATCCCATCGATGCAAGTTCAAACAAATGTTAACATACAAAGTGAACCCATATAATTCAAAATATAAATGCTTACATTTGACCACTTTCTTAAGTGTCCGCTCGTCACGCCGAAGACAGCCCTTTTCTGGTGTTTATCGCCGTGATATTGCTGGAATATTGCTAAAAGTGGCGTAAAACTAAACTCAACCACCCACCCACAAAAATGGCGTCCATTCGGACACGCTAATGGCACAGGGTATGTGTTAGTTTTAGGACTGAAAAGAAATGTCTCAACCAATCATATCAAAGCAAAAACGGCCATTCATTTCACAATATGATTAAAAAATATTGCATACATGACACGTTTTTATGGATAACAACTTCCTTATATTCTTTATACGACGTTTCAGAGCTAATTCTTGCTCCTTCATCAGGTGAATGCTGAGTCAGTGCACAGAGTGAATATATATAGTTAAACATGTACACAACACAAGGTGGGAGAATGTACAAAGATAACAATATAATAACGACGCGAGTTAGATAGGATTAATGTACAAAGAAAACAATATAATTACGACGCCAATTAGACAGGATTAATGTACAAAGATAACAATATAATAACGACGCGAGTTAGATAGGATTAATGTACAAAGATAACAATATAATAACGACGCGAGTTAGATAGGATTAATGTACAAAGATAACAATATAATAACGACGCGAGTTAGATAGGATTAATGTACAAAGATAACAATATAATAACGACGCGAGTTAGATAGGATTAATGTACAAAGATAACAATATAATTACGACGCGAGTTAGATAGGATTAATGTACAAAGATAACAATATAATTACGACGCCAATTAGATAGGATTAATGTACAAAGATAACAATATAACACGACGCCAATTAGATAGGATTAATATACAAAGATAACAATATAACGACGCCAATTAGATAGGATTAATGTACAAAGATAACAATATAATTACGACGCCAATTAGATAGGATTAATGTACAAAGATAACAATATAATTACGACGCCAATTAGATAGGATTAATGTACAAAGATAACAATATAATTACGACGCCAATTAGATAGGATTAATGTACAAAGATAACAATATAATTACGACGCCAATTAGATAGGATTAATGTACAAAGATAACAATATAATTACGACGCCAATTAGATAGGATTAATGTACAAAGATAACAATATAATTACGACGCCAATTAGATAGGATTAATGTACAAAGATAACAATATAATTACGACGCCAATTAGATAGGATTAATGTACAAAGATAACAATATAATTACGACGCCAATTAGATAGGATTAATGTACAAAGATAACAATATAATTACGACGCCAATTAGATAGGATTAATGTACAAAGATAACAATATAATAACGACGCGAGTTAGATAGGATTAATGTACAAAGATAACAATATAATAACGACGCGAGTTAGATAGGATTAATGTACAAAGATAACAATATAATTACGACGCGAGTTAGACAGGATTAATGTACAAAGATAACAATATAATACGACGACGCCAAAGATAGACAGGATTAATGTACAAAGATAACAATATAATAACGACGCGAGTTAGACAGGATTAATGTACAAAGATAACAATATAATTACGACGCGAGTTAGATAGGATTAATGTACAAAGATAACAATATAATTACGACGCGAGTTAGATAGGATTAATGTACAAAGAAAACAATATAATAACGACGCGAGTTAGATAGGATTAATGTACAAAGATAACAATATAATTACGACGCGAGTTAGATAGGATTAATGTACAAAGATAACAATATAATAACGACGCGAGTTAGACAGGATTAATGTACAAAGATAACAATATAATAACGACGCGAGTTAGACAGGATTAATGTACAAAGATAACAATATAATTACGACGCGAGTTAGACAGGATTAATGTACAAAGATAACAATATAATTACGACGCCAGTTTGATAGGATTAATGTACAAAGATAACAATATAATTTCGACGCCAGTTAGATAGGATTAATGTACAAAGATAACAATAGATAGTAATGAAAAAAAGCCAAAGAGGTGTGTGGAGGGTGTGTGTGTGTGTGTGTGTGTGTGTGTGTGTGTGTGTGTGTGTGTGTGTGTGTGTGTTTTCTATCTATACACGTATTACCTCTGTGCACTGACTCAGCATTCACCTGATGAAGGAGCAACTATTAGCTCTGAAGCGTCGTATAAAGAATAAAAAGAAGTTATTCTTTTAAACGTGTCATGATGATGATGATGATGATGATGATGATGATGATGATGATGATTTCATATATTTAAATAAAGCACCTCAGTATAATTTATGCCAATCGGGTTCCAAATACATAGCTGAAAACTTACTTGGCTGTAACAAAGCATACGACTTTGTGGATAACAACATTCTTGTTTATTGCATAGAGCAACGTTTCTTGTAGAAACACATCGTTTCCAAGCTAAATGCATTGATTAACCAACTTATACAATGCAGATCAAACAATTAACTTGGCTGTAACACGCCCACCGGTCATAACACTGATAGGTATGATATTCATAGTCCCCGAAACATCAGTCTAAGTAAACTTAGGCTCGATTATTCGTTACACTGCTATACTGAGTCTAACAAACCCTTGTGGAAGGTCGCGTCAGGTAACCTTTTCAATTGACCAATCAGAACACAGCTTACCAAAACATTCGCACATATCTTTTGAACTTTTACCTCGAAAAAGTTCCCGAACGATTCCGAATGCTAATTTCCGAATTACACGAATAAATGTAATCTATCTACCATGAATATACTCCAGTCAAAATGTGAAGACATGTTCAAGCATTCACTAAGTGATTCCCCTACTTCAAATAACAAATTAAGAACATACAGATTGGTCAAGTCATCTATAAAACTCGAAAATTACCTATTTCATTGTAAAAACAAAGCTCATCGATCACATTTTTCAAAACTACGTTTAAGTAATCATAAACTCAAAATTGAAACTGGAAGATATACAAAACCTGCAACCCCTTTAGAACAACGTCTCTGTGAAATGTGCAGTGTCTTAGACGATGAGCAACACCATATAATATCATGTACCAAGTATAACGAAGAAAGGGAATCACTTATACACACAATGCTATATTATGACCAAGAATTTACTACTCTCTCAAAAAAAGAACAATTCTTAATAATTTTCACGAACAGAAGTCCTGAATTAATTTCCAAAATATGTCACCATCTTTACAACTTTAAATGAATGTTATATCTTACCATAGTCTCCTCATATATTATTTCCATGTCATTATACCACATGATTTCTAAAAAAAATGTTATAATGTACATCATTTATGTGTGAAATGTATCTATATTTCTTGTACCTACTGTGTAAATATTTGTAGCTTATAGAATATTGCCACTGTTTCTTCATGGAATGCTATGCAATAAATATCTTATCTTATCTTATCTTTCCGTACGATCGCTTCCGAGTGATGCACATGGAGCACGCCACAACAGTGAGTAAACAGTCGCTGATAATAGCGTTTTATCAGTATTCAAGGATGTCAGCTTGCGGAAATATTAGCTAATGATAACCATGTCAACATAAACCCAAAAGCGTATATTCTGCAGGTCATATATCTATGTTTCATGCGGGTTTTCATTTTTTGTGAGATCAGTGTTGGCGACCGGGGAAGAGAAAATACATTTAAGTCCCACCGAACCCTAAATAGTAGCTGTTGTCTCACTGGTTAAATCCGTTAGGCCGTCTCGCGTTTGATTGGACGGTCATAGGTCGCTCAAAGGTTACCTGACACGACCTTCCGCAAGGTTTTGTTAGACTCAGCAGTGTAACGAATGATACTGAGCCTATTATAAGTTTACTTAGACTGCCGAAACATTAGGATATTTTCCCCTCCCATTACAACACCTATTCTGTAAGATAACGGAACAAATGTGCATAAGCAAGTCTAGATTTTCTCCATTGGGGTTCCTTTTCAACTTTTATTTATATTTATTCCAAAATTGTGATTCTTTAATCGCCGAAAACACTCAATCCATCATGGCACAAAATCACAAGGCCTTCGCCGTTATTGGAGGCCCATGATTTTTGAAGGGAGACTATTCTCGATCTTCTGCCGTGGAGATAATAAAATACTAAAGCGGTGTTGCAAATCTTTATAACCCCATTTCAAAATGATACTATAACAGGCGGTCTTTCGCCAATGGTTTGCCTCATAACATCATGGACTTTCATATCACAGTCGGATGAGACAACTTTTCGTAGTATAATTATTTTATGTTCAACGCTGTTATTGTTTGGTTTTGCTTCGTTTCACTATTAACACGAAATAGGTGGACTATATTTCATGGATGACTTAATCATAAGGACCAAAACAACTCGTGACCGGTGTTGCCTGTGTGGACCCAAACAAGATTTGTCTGAGAAAATTAATATATGATGGAGCATATATAGCATTTTTTAACTTCTTGTATTTTTCAAAATGGTCAGCCTGTCGGAAACCTCCAGGCACTCAGGGGTAAGACAGATATGTTGTGTGGTCAGTTATCGCAGAGACCAAAAACTGGCATTTCTGACCAAATGTAGAATGCTTATCTGACTGGGATACTTATTAAGGGACCTTTCATAATTTATGACTGTTGGGGGTGGTGATGATTTTTATGGAGCAGCATTACAATGTGAATGACACACCCCCCAAAAAAATAATAATAATAATAATTAAAAAATAAATAATAAATATATAAATATATTTGTATATATAAAATAAAAAAATGGGTGACACCCCCCTAAAGCATCAATCCCCACCCCAGCCATAAATAATGAATGGTCCCTAATTATGTTTTATACATTCTTTGACTTTATCTTACTCACTTTATCTTGCTTATCTCTGTTCTTGTCAGGTGTATAGTTCTAACTGATATTGTTTTACTGCATATGGACAGAAGCTACAATTAGCGCCCCACTTAGCTGCACTGAAGACCTGTCTAGGGGAGAAAATTAATGGATGTCAGCTTCTGTGTTAGTTTCGCTGAAGGGGTCGTCGGTACAGGTACTACAGATATATGTACCCCAGGTACGTCTCTACATACAGAAATGTACTCAAAACAAAGTCAAAATACAGAAATGTACCCGGTACCCTACATGGTGGACAGGTGCAGATTTCGCATGTAGTTGTTCCCGTTGCTGTGGACTCATTCAAACCTGGAATCACCAAAGGAAACGTCACAGACTATTCAGGCCCAAATGTGGAGGCCATACCACCTTCCATGTCACTAACAGGCATACCTCCGTTTTTTGTGTTCATAATTATTTGTTTAGGAATAGAATTGTCTCTAGTTGCCAGATATGTTATCTTATCAGGCCATAGGAGGTGTGTCGCTGTGTGGAGGTGATGGGCATTACATGTTTCCCACTTCAGATTCAGAATCTTTAAACTTAAAAGGATATTTATCAGATCATTTGTTTATAAAATTCTTTTTCACAAACACTCTGAAATGTATGTATGTGTTGGCCAATGCACTAAGCAAAATACGTCTTGTGAAGTTCTTTTATGAAAACAATTTATATTTTAACTGAAATAATGAACTGAGGACTAATTTGTGTTCTGTGATGTAATGAAGGACCTAAAATTGCTGTGTATAAGTTAACTTGAGGAGCTTCCAATCAAATCACCTCCACTGGAGTAAACCAGACTCTGAACTCTTATAACTCATTTAATATTAGATTAAATTTTGTCATTAAATTAAGTATATTGAAATTTATTAGTGGTTACTACTTCCCCCACAAAATAATATTGTTTTCAGCAATTTTTCAGATCATCAAGCATTTCAAGTGAACAAGCAGGGCTCGATCTAAGAGATGTTAACCTACTTGCGCCAGGTGCAACCCAAGATAAAAACCTATTTGCCCCGGCCAAATTCCAGTTGCACTGTTTTTATTGCAATATGTAATGAAAGAAATATGCTATTGAATTATTTAGATGTTTTATTCAGAAGTTTACCCACTCAAACCTTTACTTGCACCTGGTGCAAGTTAGGCTAATAACTAGGTTGCACTTTTGTAGTATTGGGTTGCACCAGTGCAAGTAACAAAGCACTGAATCGAGCCCTGACAAGTGATTTAGTATGTAAACTTAAAAAATATTTTTCAGCTTTCCTCAGTAAGGAAGGATAACAATATATGGATGAACAACTTCTTTATTACAATGAGAGTTCTAAAGAAGTTGTACATCCATATATTGTTATCCTTCCTTACTGCTCCAACTTCAGAATGCTTTTCAAAAAGTTATTTCTAGAATACACCTTATTTCTATTTTGAAAATCCCTGCCGTGCCCCACCAAATCAAACAGTCTTTACATTAGCTGGCAAATGAGAAGGGAACACAAAGTATGTGATCTTGACTACCAGCTATTACAACCGCCTCTGTGGTGTAGTGGTTAGAGCGTCCGCCCCGGAGAACGGAAAGTCGCGGGTTCGATCCCCGACCGCGTCATACCAAAAGACGTTAAAAACATGGTACTTGTTGGTCCCTGCCTGGCGCTCAGCATTAATGGGTACAACAAGGACTGGTCGGCTCGGAGTCAGTATAATGTGTCTGAGTGGGATATTCATGCTTCACTGCGGCATGGTATCTCAGTTGGCTAGCACTATAAAACTAGCTTAAGTCTGGGCTATTACAAGCAGCCGCACGTACACGAACACGCGCATGCACGTCGTCATATGAGGAAATATTCTCAAGCACGACGTTAAACCCAATTTCACCTCACCTCACCAGCTATTACACTTCCATCATTGTGGAAGCTGCGATGGCTAAGTGGGTTAAATCGCTGACTTTGTGTGCTGGTGATTAGGTGTCTTTTTCGCAAAGTGTGGGTTCGAATCCTGGATGGGAATCAACCTCAACAAGTACTAGAATCTGTACTTTACTGAGGAAGAGTAATCTCAGATGTAACATATGCAGAAACGTTCATTGTTTGCTTTAAGGGGTATTTCTTCAATGATGAGCAGAACTCAATCCAGACTTCAGACACAGAAGAGCTCCTGCGTGACCATGTGGCCCTCACGGGGGACGGGGAAATTGTGTTCAGGAAGATCAACACCCTGTGGGCCATCGTTTGTCAGATACTGCTGTCTGTGAGTACCTTGTACCCGAGTTCCTTGTCCAAAACAACCTTCGTGCCACGACTGTTGCAAGTTTATATTTAGGGATAAGTGTTACATTCACCTTACCGCTACGACTGGTGTATGTTTGTTACGATATGGAAGTTACATTCACCTAACCGCTACGACTGTCATTGGTCTATATTAAGGTATGGGAGTTGTGATCACCTAGCATTATGTTACGATTGTTATATGTCTATGTTAAGGTATAGGGAGTTACGATCACCTTAGCATTATGTTGCTATACTCATAAATCTCTGTTAAAGGTCACATGTAACCAAAAAAATCAAACATAATTAAAACACAATTATCTCTTATTCATGACATATAATATACATTGCTGGTTATGAAAAAACATATCAACAAAATTATAAGCGTATAATCGCAAATCAAAAGTGCAATATTGTGTACTTGGGTTTACTTCCCAAGAAACGAAGCAGCCGGGATACCGAACCCAGTCAGAGCGGGTGGGTGTGCACTCACCTGTAACGGCTGGTTCATTTGCCCTCACAGCTCATTGTGTGTGTATATATAGAGATGTTGGGTTTTGTAAATACATGCTCTTTTTTTGTGTATAACATTTTACAATCAACAAACATCATAACATGTCATGTGTTCAAGTATCACACCTGCCTGTCTGTGTAATTACATAATGTGACAGAGACCGAACTCGGGCCATAAATCAATGCGTTTTGTTTATGGTGTATAGCCTGATTGGTGTTAAGTTCAAATTGCATGTGGTCAGTGATCGCAGTTGTGTATTGAATATTGTCATTAGCAGACAGGCAGGCAGACACACAGGTGTCAATAAAACAAGACATTGAGTTTTGTCTGTGACAACGACATATCTATATCACAGTTAGAAATTCTGTCGACGCTAAATAATGACATTGCTTTTAAGTATCGAACTGAGAAAGTGAGTCGGTAAGAAGAACGTGTGGTGAAATAGACAAATGAAATTATATAAACAGTTTATTTACTGTCATAACATATAAAAAGCTCGCGCCTGTGAGATATCAACAAAACATTAGGAAAATAGCTCGCACGTGCTATGAGCGCAGCCCAGCTGTTGAAACCAGTTTTCCCGCGAAAAGTCGGGGGAAAATTAGTGAATCGTTTGAACTCCGATTTCGCGCGGTTTTTTTCATCGCGTTATTTTTCAACTTTATAAGTTAAATTTGCATTTTTGATGATTTGTTTCGGTAAGTCCATACCGAAAGGTATCAGAATCTGCAAAGTTGTGTTTTACGTTGCATGTGACCTTTAAGGTATAGGAATTACATTCCCCTTAACGCTACAACTGTCATATCTGTTTCTTTAGGTATAGGAGTTACGATCACCTTAGCAGTAGTTTGCGATTGTCGTAAGTCTACATTAAGGTATGGGAGCATGCTCGATCATCTCCAGGGTATATGTTGCGATCTCCGCTAATAGCAGTGGAGTGGGATTTATCGAACGGATACACTGGAGATTATTGAGGATGGTATGGGAGTTACGATCACCTTAGTGCTTTGACTGTCGTAAGTCTGTGTTAAAGTATGGGAGTTACAATCACCTTAGCACTACGACTGTCGTAAGTCTGTGTTAAGATATGGGAGTCATGATCACCTAAGTGCTAAGATCACTTTGTACAAGAGAATCCAGATAAACGGTTTGGAATTACTTAACTTTGTAAACTTGTCCTTTCACTCTGAAACGAAAATACAAATATGTCACTTTCTCCGTTTCAGATTGCTCTGCTGACTGGCTCGTTCATCATCCCCGTGTTCTGCCTGCAGAACAAGTGTGGAGCAGACGACATAACGCTAGTAATCTACATCCATGGGGGTTTCTGGTTCATCTTCCTGGCATTCGACAGATACTACCGGCAGCAGCACTACGTCAACAGGCTCAATGGTTATCTGGAGTTCTACAGGAGGACAAAAAATATTCGCAGAATGCCGTTCTTGATAACATCCGGAGGTAATCAGTGTTCATGAATGCTGTTTCAAAGTAACAGGACATTGGGTCCTGTAAGTTTCAGATGTCTGTCTGACCCATTCAAAATTCACAGGACCCATAGAATAAAATTAAACACACATTTCATATTCAACATTTCTTATAATTGGCATTGAAGTTTTTAACAAACGTAAGATTTATAAAGGGCAAACAAGTGTCACATGTCACATATAACAACTTCAGTCAAAGTCATTGTGAAATATACAGTCTGACATTGGGGCCGGCGGGTTGCAGACTTCTATCGGACCGTTGGCAAATCTGCCGGATTTGTCAGAGGGTCAGACGCTATTCGTGAACACTGGGTAATACCATCAAATGGACTCAGATATTTGTTGTTGAAAACTGCGTTCAGCTATATTCCAGTTGTATGATAATAGTCTGTAATACAGTTTGGGCCAGATGATGAAATATTTGATTACAATTTATTATGTAATTATATTGTTAGCAGCAATATATGCCTTTGTGGTAAGATGACAATAGACTATTGGGGCCATTTTCAGTGTTGCCAGTGTATGAAATAAGGCCTGTCTGACCGCCGGAGATGGGCTAGATTTCTGATGGACGGTCTAAATTTACAGCTAGCCAGCCCGATGGTCTGGTAAAACTTTTAAATGTTTCATGCATCTGAGTAAATTCACCATATCTTGGTGTCTGGTCTGGTTAAATCCGTTTTGGGCTGGTAACATTTTGAAGTTACCAGCCCTGATGTCTGGCAGGGTTTTGGGCTTATTTCATACACTGGTATTGCACCATTGGAGTGACGGTACCCCTCTATACTGCAATAGTATTGCAATAGTTGTCAACCATTGCAATAGTTTTGTGATAGTATTAAACCAGTTGTAAGATTGGATAATTTCATGAATCAATGCAATAGCAATTCATAAAGTAGTTTTCTACGCCCTCTCTTATCTTAGACTTTCAAAAGATTTCCATACAGTGCTTACAAGAAAGACACTTTACTAACAGCAATATGTTTCTCATTAGTTTGTTTATTGAATAGATGAGAAATAGTGAGTATTTTTAGGTAGTTGGTTTCCCTAGTTGTGTTTGAATTTCTCAGATAAGCTGCAAAAGGCCTGAATTTTTGCCATGATAATATAAGGGAGATTACACAAGCCCTTCAATTATCTCCCTTTGACTGTGAGCAATGAGGAGAAACTTGGCCAGACAGTGAAAGGAAACTAATAATGCAAACCATTTCAGTTGTCCCAACAACATTTTTCAGGATTTTATATAAATATGACTTTCCATTACAGCAAATTATAACTTGCTGTATATTTTATTAGAAATTAGAGGCATGGTGGGCGAGCTGTCCAAGGCACCAGGCTAGTGATCCAGCAAGCTTAAGGTGCCAGAATTGAGTCCACCTGTGACCAGGTGTAAAAACCTTGGAGACAACTTTGTGTGCAGACTCTTTCAGTGTTGGCACAACCCCTAGTGTACAGTACACAACCCTGTGCACTTACAAGAACCCACGAATCCGTTGGCATATGACCAGATGGTGGCCACATGAATATGTGCGAACACCAAGTTGCGGGTACAGCAACATGCAGTAAACTTTGACAAAGTACTGTGACTATGTGTACCAGTCCACCCAGCTGTGAATGGGTACCTCGTAAGGATAGAAAAGCCACCTTAACTCACTGCGCCTGGTGGCTGCAAGAGTTGTATGCTCCCCAGGGAGTTGAGATTGATAATACGATGTCCTGTTGAGATTGACATCAAATAATCAACGGAAAAAGCAAAGCACCTGTGAGCAGCCTAGCTGGAACTCAGCGCTATATAAATAAATAAATGCATATAACAAACTACATTTAATAAACTAACATTAGTTGTCCCTATAGTTTGTTATAACTATAGTTTGCTGTGGAATAAGTATCATTATAACATGACTCTCCATTCCCAGGCAATGCGTTGCTGCTGATAGTCACCAGGATCCTGGACGAGTACTGTCACACACCAGACAAGTGCTATATACTGAAGAAAGAAAACTATATCCAGATTGTTGTTGCCGTGGAGACTGCTATAATTCTGCTATTCCTCATAATGTACCTGGGTAAGATTCTCTTTTGTCAGGGCAGGGAGACTCTATAAGGGGGGAGTGGTCACTCCTCGGAAAGCTCCTGAGCTATGCCTCGGCTCGTCACGTGACCAGTGCAGCCAATATGGCGGCAGCGTAGTTTTTTAAGATTGAGCCCGGTTTATTTTCAACAGCTGATTACATACGCTGAGTGTTGTGACAACTGAAAACCTACATGTAGAAGATAAGTTACCTATTCTGTCACTTCATTTTAAGTCAAATACTTGTTATTAGTGTCAGTATAAGTACAGTAGCTTTGTAGTAAAGTTTCAAGTGGGCATGTTGTAGCTCACTGGCTTCAATTCTCAGTACACAGCGAAGAAAGACTAACTTATATCGCTAAAAACTTCTTTCACATATTCGTTTAATTTTTAGAAGGGAAATATACCTTTTGTTAAAAGGTGTTTGCAAGTAATAGTGATATTTTTATAACTAAAAAAAATGTGTTAGGGTGTATTTGAGGTGTGTGAAAATATGACATATCACCGATCTGCCATTGAAATACTACAGGGCTTGTTTGAGTGTTTCTAGTTAGTGTTCAAAAACATCTTTCACATACACCTTCAATTTTTATGAGGGGAATGTACCATCAGGTGAAAGGTGTTTGCAAGTAATAGTGATAGTTTTATAATTTAAAAAAAATTGTTAGTGTGTATTTGAGGTGTGTAAAAAATATGACATATCGCCGATCTGCCATTGAAATACTACAGGGCGTTGTTTGAGTGTTTCTAGTTAGTGTTCAAAAACATCTTTCACATACACCTTCAATTTTTATGAGGGGAATATACCATCAGGTGAAAGTTTTTGCAAGTAATAGTGATAGTTTTATAATTTAAAAAAAAATTGTTAGTGTGTATTTGAGGTGTGTAAAAATATGACATATCGCCCGATCTGCCATTGAAATACTACAGGGCGTTGTTTGAGTGTTTCTAGTTAGTGTTCAAAAACATCTTTCACATACACCTTCAATTTTTATGAGGGAATATACCATCAGGTGAAAGTTTTTGCAAGTAATAGTGATAGTTTTTGTGTGTTTTGTTAGTGTGTATTTGAGGTGTGTGAAAAATATGACATATCGCCGATCTGTTCTGATACATGCATTGGTGCTTGTGATGCTTGAGTGTTATAGTTCTAAAACTTCTTTCTTTCTTGTTGATCTTAGTATTTGACAAAACTGGAAAGGTGTTTACAACTTTGTGATAGTTCTAAACTTTCTGTTCTTGAGGGGTCTGTGACAGTGTCAGTTAACATTCTGTCAATGCCCATGTCATTCCACACATGCAATAAGATATCTGAATTAGTTACTAATGTAAAAATGTCTCAAAGTAGATTTTTTATAAAAGGACAGCTGATGTTAACATGTGTTCTACCGATAGTTTTGTGTTCTTTAACATGTTTGGGGAGGGATGGCCGTGGTGTATCATTTATTCTTTCATTCACTCACATATGTTCTTTTTCTTTTGTTCTTTTTCTTAATTTCTTTCATTCATTCTCATAAAATTCTTGCTCTTAATTAATTCATTCATTCATTGTAAAATTCCGACCTATACAATACACTGGCTGTAATACTGTTAAACGCAGCCGAAGTTGCGCTGGGACCGAACCAAGTCACTGTGTGCGTTGGAGCATGACGAGGCACACGTTTATTAGTACAAATGGTAAAGAAAGCAGGCGAGTGACCTATCCCTGTTGTAGAGTATCCCTGGTCAGGGTGATGGTGGGGTAGATTAGGTCCAGGTAAAAAAAATAATTTTTAAAATAATATGGGTCAGGCAGGCGGATTTTATTTTAACATTTTATTTTATTTTATGTCAAAAACTCTTTGATTTCTGTGGAAATTTAACCTTTTCTCCGATAGAAAATCAAAATTTAGAAGTGTGAAAAATTCATGCACACTTTGAGAATCAAAGTTGCATTTTTTTTAGTGTGAAAAATAAAAAAAATCTTAGGGTTAGGTTGAATATTTGGGTCAGGCAGTAATGAGAAACAAGAATAATTTTATATATGGCCTAATAGTGAAGGCGTTCAACCGTCATGATGAAGACAAATTAACTTATCACAACGATGACCACACAGATGTCAAATTAAATAGATGTAAGTGTTGACTATTTACTAACAGGAAGTCAACATTAGCCAGCGTGAAAGCAGCTCTCTCAAGCTTTATGGCACTTTTTGGAAAGTGCCCAAGTCCATTATTTTATGTTGTGGTTTATTTAAGTCTCACTCCACAATATTCCAGCTATATGGCGGCGGTCTGTAAATATTTGAGTCTGGACCAGACAATTCAGTGATCAACAGCATGAGCATCGATTTATGTATCAACCAATTTAGCGAGCCTGACCACCCGATCCCGTTAGTCTTTTACGACAAGCATGGGTTACTGAAGACTAATAATTGTTCCAACCACATGGATGAAATGTGTAGAATGTGATTTCAAGGGAAGTAACTCTTCTTGTCTTAAACAAAGGGAATGTCATCTTCTTGAAGGTTTATGGTATTGTTCCATCAAACATGTCAAATGAAGATTCAGAAATATTGTATATGTTTACATTCTTAATTAATTAATGTGTGCAAGCTACAACTAACTTGTTCTTTGGACTCCCAGTCTCTCTTATAGGCATGGTGACATTTGTAGGGGTTTTCTTGCATTTTAGTAACAACCTCAAATGAAGAAAGAAATATTTTGTTTCTCTTTACAAAGCTGTATGTGTCTGTTAACATCCTTTAAAGGCACAATGTCACCACATTTTCGACAATATTTTGGCATATTTTATATATTAGGGGCATATGCACTCACTTTAGCTTCCTTTTGATGCAATAAAAGACTTATTATCCCTTTCGAATTGAAACTTCAAGGCGAACAACTTCCAAACAGACAACACTTGCCATATAGGGAATGTAAACGATTGATCCGTACATCGTTCATCACACCGAAGACCCGGGTTCGAATCCCCACATGGGCACAATGTGTGAAGCCCATTTCTGGTGTCCCCCGCCGTGATATTGATGGAATATTGCTAAAAGCGGCGTAAAACCATACTCACTCTTTCACTTTCTCAACCAAAACATTCATGCACTTTCAATTACTCTGTGTCTTAAGTCTGGGCTAGTACAAGCAGCCGCACATACACATACACACGCATGCACATCGTCATATGAGCGAACTATTCTCAAGCACGACGTAAAACCCAATTTCACCTCACCTCCAAAACCCATCCACAGATTCACTTTCATTCACTTCAAAACATACATGTTCACTCACTCTTTCTTTCCAAAAACCCACATTCACTCATTTCAAAACCTTTCCACACTTCCACTCACTCACTCCCCAAACCCAACTCACATATTCACTACCTCCAAAGTCCTTACAGACACACTTGGTCCAAAAAAGAACCCACATATTCACTCACTCCAAAACCAACTCACTCACTCTCTCCAAAACCAACTCACTCACTCCAATACCAATTCACTCACTACAATACCAACTCACTCACTCACTCACTCACTCACTCCTTGCAGCCAGCACCTACAAGTTCAACCGGCGCCAGGCTCACCCAGATGTAAGTCAGGATGAGATGCTGAACAGCTTCATCCAATCGCAATCCCAAGCTTCTGAGATCGGCTTCAGGTAGGCCAGAAATTACACATGCGGAAAATAGAACAGTTTGCATTAGGCAATACATTTATGCAGTATTTGAAACATGATTTGTCAAAGCATCTACCGGTATACCAAAACGTTGCATCATAATATAATTTTGGTATAGATTCTTATACTGTTGTCAAGCAAGAGTGAGTGATTTGGGTGAGTTTATGGGGGCATGATGGGCGAGCTGGCTAAGACGCCAGGCTAGTGATCCAGCGAGCTTTAGGTGCCAGGATCGAGCCCACCTGTAATCGGGTGCAAAATCCTTGGGTCAACTTTGTGTGCAGACTCTTTCAGTGTCGTCACAACCCTGCGCACTTAAAAGAGCCCACGAGATTGTTAATGAGATGTGCCGTTGAGATTGACATCCAATGATCGAAAGAAAAAAATACCAGCGCCTTGAGCATGCACTAGTGCTTGGATATGTGCCATATAAATATCCAATAATAAAAAGAGTGACTCTTGCTTGACAACAATATATAGAGAATCTCACCCAAGTGTCTTTTGATATCAAATATATCACCATGAGTTGATAAAGTTACAAATATCCGAGGCTTGTCAAGGATATTTTTACTTTTATCAACTAGTGTTGATACATTTGATATCAGAAGACACGAGGGTGAGAATCTATTTATCATCATAAATCACTCATTAGTTTTCGATGAAAAATGTACATCTCTGAACACGGTACTGCCATTAGACTTGCAGTGCAGCAATGTCATAGCATTGTGATGTCATCAAGTTTATGACATCATAGCATTGTGACATCATCAGGTTTTTGACGACATAGCATTGTGAGTCATGTAAATGATGATGTCCGAGCATTGTACAAAATCTATCTCCAAGGAGATATGATTTGATCTCACTCAAGCAATATTTCCTGTGGAACACAGTTTTGGATGATAACTGACTGACTGACTAAGTTTAGTTTTACGCCGCTTTTAGCAATATTCCAGCAATATCACGGCGGGGGACACCAGAAATGGGCTTAACACATTGTGCCCATGTGGGGAATCGAACCCGGGTCTTCGGCGTGACGAGCCAACGCTTTAACCACTAGGCTACCCCACCGCCCCTTTGGATGATAAAATAATCTATACCAAAACATCACCTCTTAATATAAAATATCCGTGTGTATGTTACAGAGATGAGAACTACGTGGACCAGGTTTTGGAGAAACAGGCAGACATGATCCGATACCTGAAGCAGCACAACTCCCAGCTCGGGAAGAGGATTCTGGCCCTCACAGCTCAGAACAATTCTCTCAACGAGCCACGCTCTTGAGACACGACGGGACGGTTATTCCCAAAGTTACATCTCCAAAACTCGCAGACATGGGAACGCTTTTATCATCTTTCAATCCTGCACCTCATAGTGTGTTGTCAGGATCTAAAGACCTGTGTAACATTTGCAGATCAAAGTGTCTGAATGTGTTTGGGTGGATCGTGCAGAAGTGAAGACCTTTGTTACACTTGCAGATTTTCCAGATCTGAGTGTCTAAATGTGTTTGGGTGGATATTGCTGAGCTGAACACCATTGTTACACATGCAGATGTTTCAGATCAGAGTGTCTAAATGGGTTTGGATTGATTGTGAAGAACTGAAGTCTTTCGTAACATTTCAGATCTTGGATATTGCAGAACAGTTGACTTTCATAACATTCCTTTCTTTGCGCACAAACAGATCAGTTGAAACATTCGGGAAGAAAGTGGTTGTTACCATGGACAAGAGAATGTGCGGAACTTTCTCATATTTTCAGATTAAATATATCTGATCCAGATAAATATTATGTAGCATTAGTTTTGATGTGCAACAGAACTTTACCACGGATATGTTTGGTATGTCACAGACGTACGCCAGTTGGTGCTGGAACAAATGACACTTTCTTGGGCTGATGATGAGTGAGTGAGTGAGTTTGGTTTTATGCCGCTTTTAGCAATATTCCAGCAATATCAAGGCGGGGGACACCAGAAATGGGCTTCACACATTGTGCCCATGTGGGGATTCGAACCCGGGTCTTCGGCGTGACGAGTCAACGCTTTAACCAATGGGCTACCCCACCGCCCGGGCTGATGATGAGCTGTGTGTTGTGTAAACCCTGTTTTCCCGTGCTCACGACTTCTATATGAGGACCTACCTGTAGTTTTTTTTCAGGGTGATATGGGATGAATATCTTTTAAGTGAGTGAGTGATTAAGTATAGTTTTACTCCGCTTTTAGCAATATTCCCTCAATATCACAGCAGTGGACTATTTTTTAAGATCATGAAGTTGTTGTTAGCACTGAAGATGGAGCCCTGAGGATGATAGAAAAGTCTGTTTCCATTCAGGTTGTGTGTAGTTAACCAATATGGAAACTGACTTTGCCATTCATCATGCTTTTGTCGTGATCCTATTCTTAGCCCTAAAGGGCACCTGTCATCGGGAAAGATTGTTGTGAGTTGGGTGGAGTGAGATGGGAGCGGCAGGACTGAGCGGGCAGAATCCTCTTAACCTGTTATTGCTTTTTGTTAAAGTGATAGAAGTATCATCTTTGATCTCACAGTTATGCATGAGTGTATTTAAATGTAATTATTTGTAATAAAGACATTGTGAACTTCTGTGCTTCTTTCGTACTTCCTGCACTCCATATACTGACTGTATGGTGATCTACCTTCAGTTGTTGGTGATCTATAACCTATTTTTATATTGTGCTGTCCCCTGTAGTTAAAATGTTTTAGATTCAATTACTATTTTTACATGTATATCTGTGATACTCTAGTTGCTTTACTGTCCTTTGTCGGAAGGTTTTTATACTATCTATATATATTCGATTTCAATGTCAAGTGTTCTCATCACGATATGGCTGAAATATTGCCGAGTGACATTAAATAATAACTCACTCACTCACTAACTCACTCACTCACCATATACTGACTGCTCCCAACCCTAGTCCCTGATGGGACCACCTCCGTGGTGTAGTGGTCAGAGCATCCGCCTGGAGAGCTGAAGGTCGCGGGTTTGATCCCTGGCCAAAAGGCATTAAATATGGTACTTGTTGGTCCCTGCCTGGCGCTTGGCATTAATAGGTATAACAAGGACTGGTCGGCTCAGAGTCAGTATAAAGTATCTGAGTGAGGTATTCATGCTTTATCTCAGTGAGCTAGCACTATAAAACCAGCTTAGGTCTTGGTTACAACAAACATCCACACATACACAAACATGCACGTAGTCATATGAGGAAAATATTCTTAAGTACGACGTTAAACCCCATTCCACCTCACCTCCCATCACCCAAATGGAGGCGTTGTACAGATATACTCTAATGGAGTCAAAGAAGTGACCCCAGTTAGTCATCCATCACTGAAGTGGTCCCAGATAGTCATACATCAATGAAGTAAACCCAGTTAGTCATCCATCACTGAAGTGGTCCCAGTTAGTCATCCATCAGTGAAGTGACACCAGTTAGTCATCCATCACTGAAGTTACCCCAGTTAGTCATCCATCAATGAAGTAAACCCAGTTAGTCATCCATCACTGAAGTGATCCCAGTTAGTCATCCATCACTGAAGTGACACCAGTTAGTCATCCATCACTGAAGTGGTCCCAGTTAGTCATCCATCACTGAAGTGACCCCAGTTAGTCATCCATCACTGAAGTGACCCCAGTTAGTCATCCATCAATGAAGTGGTCCCAGTTAGTCATCCATCACTGAAGTGACCCCAGTTAGTCATCCATCACTGAAGTGACACCAGTTAGTCATCCATCAATGAAGTGGTCCCAGTTAGTCATCCATCAACCATAACTGAAGTATTGAAGTGTCATCCATCACTGAAGAAGTGACAGTTAGTCACCCATCAATGAAGTGGTCCCAGTTAGTCATCCATCACTGAAGTGGACCCAGTTAGTCATCCAGCACTGAAGTGACCCCAGTTAGTCATCCATCACTGAAGTGACCCCAGTTAGTCATTCATCATTGAAGTGACCCCAGTTAGTCATCCATCACTGAAGTGACACCAGTTAGTCATCCATCACTGAAGTGGTCCCAGTTAGTCATCCATCAATGAAGTAACACCAGTTAGTCACCCATCAATGAAGTGACTCAAGTTAGTCATCCATCACTGAAGTGACACAAGTTAGTAATCCATCACTGAATTGACACAAGTTAGTCATCCATCAATGAAGTGACACAAGTTAGTCATCCATCACTGAAGTGACCCCAGTTAGTCATCCATCACTGAAGTAGTCCCAGTTAGTCATCCATCACTGAAGTGACACAAGTTAGTCATCCATCACTGAAGTGACACCAGTTAGTCATCCATCACTGAAGTGACACAAGTTAGTAATCCATCACTGAAGTGACACCAGTTAGTAATCCATCACTTAAGTGGTCCCAGTTAGTCATCCATCACTGAAGTGACACCAGTTAGTAATCCATCACTGAAGTAGTCCCAGTTAGTCATCCATCACTGAAGTGACTCAAGTTAGTAATCCATCAATGAAGTGATACCAGTTAGTCATCCATCAATGAAGTGACACAAGTTAGTCATCCATCACTGAAGTGACCCCAGTTAGTCATCCATTTATAAAGGGACACCAGTTAGTCATCCATCACTGAAGTGACCCCAGTTAGTCATCCATCAATAAAGTGACACCAGTTAGTCATCCATCACTGAAGTGACACCAGTTAGTCATCCATCACTGAAGTGGTACCAGTTAGTCATCCATCACTGAAGTGACGCCAGTTAGTCATCCATCATTGAAGTGAGTACCAGTTAGTCATCCATCAATGAAGTGACACCAGTTAGTCATCCATCAATGAAGTGACCCAGTTAGTCATCCATCAAAGTGAAGTTACAGTTATCCATCACTGAAGTGACAGTTAGTCATCCATCAATGAAGTGACACCAGTTAGTCATCCATCACTGAAGTGACCCCAGTTAGTCATCCATCACTGAAGTGACCCAGTTAGTCATCCATCACTGAAGTGACTGAGTTAGTCATCCATCACTGAAGTGACCCAGTTAGTCATCCATCACTGAAGTGACCCCAGTTAGTCATCCATCACTGAAGTGACCCAGTTAGTCATCCATCACTGAAGTGACACCAGTTAGTCATCCATCACAAGTGACACAAGTTAGTCACCATCACTGAAGTGACCCCAGTTGAGTCATCCATCACTGAAGTGACCCCAGTTAGTCATCCATCACTGAAGTGACACCCAGTTAGTCATCCATCAATGAAGTGACACAGTTAGTCATCCATCACTGAAGTGACACCAGTTAGTCATCCATCACTGAAGTGGTCCCAGTTAGTCATCCATCAATGAAGTGACCCCAGTGACCATCACTGAAGTGACACAGTTAGTCATCCATCACTGAAGTGACACAAGTTAGTCATCCATCACTGAAGTGACACCAGTTAGTCATCCATCACTGAAGTGACACCAGTTAGTCATCCATCACTGAAGTGACCCCAGTTAATAACACCCATCACTGTCATCCATCACTGAAGTGACACCAGTTAGTCATCCATCACTGAAGTGACATCAGTTAGTCATCCATCACTGAAGTGACACCAGTTAGTCATCCATCAATGAAGTGACACCAGTTAGTCATCCATCACTGAAGTGACACCAGTTAGTCATCCATCACTGAAGTGACACCAGTTAGTCATCCATCACTGAAGTGACACCAGTTAGTCATCCATCAATGAAGTGACACCAGTTAGTCATCCATCACTGAAGTGACCCCAGTTAGTCATCCATCACTGAAGTGACCCCAGTTAGTCATCCATCACTGAAGTGGTACCAGTTAGTCATCCATCACTGAAGTGACCCCAGTTAGTCATCCATCACTGAAGTGACACCAGTTAGTCATCCATCACTGAAGTGACACCAGTTAGTCATCCATCACTGAAGTGACACCAGTTAGTCATCCATCACTGAAGTGACACCAGTTAGTCATCCATCACTGAAGTGACACAAGTTAGTCATCCATCAATGAAGTGACACAAGTTAGTCATCCATCACTGAAGTGGTCCCAGTTAGTCATCCATCACTGAAGTGACACCAGTTAGTCATCCATCACTGAAGTGACCCCAGTTAGTCATCCATCACTGAAGTGACACCAGTTAGTCATCCATCAATGAAGTGACCCCAAGTTAGTCATCCATCAGTGAAGTGACGCCAGTTAGTCATCCATCACTGAAGTAGTCCCAGTTAGTCATCCATCACTGAAGTGACACAAGTTAGTCATCCATCAATGAAGTGACACAAGTTAGTCATCCATCACTGAAGTGACACCAGTTAGTCATCCATCAATGAAGTGACACCAGTTAGTCATCCATCAATGAAGTGACCCCAGTTAGTCATCCATCACTGAAGTGACACCAGTTAGTCATCCATCAATGAAGTGACATTAGTCATCCATCACTGAAGTGACATGAGTTAGTCATCCATCACTGAAGTGACCCCAGTTAGTCATCCATCAATGAAGTGACATAAGTTAGTCATCCATCAATGAAGTGACGCCAGTTAGTCATCCATCACTGAAGTGACACAGTTAGTCATCCATCAATGAAGTGACACCAGTTAGTCATCCATCACTGAGTGACCCAGTTAGTCATCCATCACTGAAGTGGTCCAGTTAGTCATCCATCAATGAAGTGACCCCAGTTAGTTAGTCATCCATCACTGAAGTGACCCCAGTTAGTCATCCATCACTGAAGTGACAGTTGAATCCAGTTAGTCATCCATCACTGAAGTGACACCAGTTAGTCATCCATCACTGAAGTGGTCCCAGTTAGTCATCCATCACTGAAGTGACACCAAGTTAGTCATCCATCACTGAAGTGGTCCCAGTTAGTCAGTCATCACTGAAGTGACCCAGTTAGTCATCCATCAGTGAAGTGACCCCAGTTAGTCATCCATCACTGAAGTGACCCCAGTTAGTCATCCATCACTGAAGTGACACCAGTTAGTCATCCATCACTGAAGTGACACCAGTTAGTCATCCATCACTGAAGTGACCCCAGTTAGTCATCCATCACTGAAGTGACCAAGTTAGTCATCCATCACTGAAGTGACACCAGTTAGTCATCCATCACTGAAGTGACCCCAGTTAGTCATCCATCACTGAAGTGACCCAGTTAGTCATCCATCACTGAAGTGACACCAGTTAGTCATCCATCACTGAAGTGACATCCATCAGAAGTGACCTCAGTTAGTCATCCATCAATGAAGTGACCCCAGTTAGTCATCCATCAATGAAGTGACCCAAGTTAGTCATCCATCAAAGTGACCCAGTTAGTCATCCATCAGTTAGTCATCCATCATCTGAAGTGGATTTAGTCATCCATCACTGAAGTGACCCCAGTTAGTCATCCATCAATGAAGTGACACCAGTTAGTCATCCATCACTGAAGTGACCCCAGTTAGTCATCCATCACTGAAGTGACACCAGTTAGTCATCCATCACTGAAGTGACACCAGTTAGTCATCCATCACTGAAGTGACACCAGTTAGTCATCCATCACTGGAAGTGGTCCCAGTTAGTCATCCATCACTGAAGTGATCCACCAGTTAGTCATCCATCACTGAAGTGATTCCAGTTAGTCATCC